ATTTTTATACAATGTTGTAATTTGTGTTTCAACAATTTTTTGATTAATGTTTTGTTTCCGTTACAATATTATACTTTAATGTTTAATAGGAAACAAAACAGGGATTTTGAAATTTTGCATGCCCTGCCAGCAGTTACTCCACCCACCATTGCTGGATGTCAGAACTGAGCCTGCTGATTTATTAAATGCTAAAATTACTATTCTGTCTGTAACCAAAAGTAATATTTATTCCTGGCCTTGGCCCTGCATGCCATGCCTGTGACATCTGTGTAGAATTTTAAGGATTCAGTGGACATATAAAGACCAAGAGCACAACCTTTTTTAGAGTTCACTTACCTTTGGGGAAGTATCTAAAATTAAAAAAAAGATGCTTTAATTGCAAAAGCTGTTGATTTTTATCCTTCAAAAGGAAAATGTTTTTGTCTCTGTCTGTCTGTCTGTCTGTTCAGTTTATTTTAAGGTTCAAGACACTCATGAAGCATCTCTGATTTGCTTCAAAATGACTTTTCCACTTCACTGGACTCATCCATGCCAGTCATGTTACCCTGTATGACTTGAGATGTTAGATTTACAGAGAAACACCACTCATCAGCATGGTGATGATAAGTGGACATGATGGGTGTATGACCACTCATTTGGCCAAATGAAAACAACAGATGAGAAGCATAATGTGTCATTGTCCACAGTGGGCTTTAATGGTGTAGTTTAGCCTCTAAGAATGGTGCCTTTAAAGCTGTGGTAGATGTTTGTTATGAATCTTAAGCATCTAAACAAACCACACTGGTTTGAGGATGTGTCAAATTATTCCAAGACAGAGATAATAATATATGTGGTTTAGGCAAGAAAAAGACTGCCTCCCTGAAAGACATCAGTGTAGGCCTATGCTTGGCACAACCTTGCTACATGATGTCCTTGATTTTTAACTGTAGATAATTTTGAATGCAGATGAAGCAGTGAAAGTCATTAAACGGTATGTAGCCATTACAGCATATGGGTTTACACTCACAGCTCATGGTGTTGGAAAGACTCCTAACTCATTCATTCCCATCCCTTATGTTTCTTCATACCCTCTAGCTACAACTTGTTTACCCCCCTTCTCCATTTTTCCTGCACTCCTTCTGACTCAAAGATTTCCTAGTATCTTATAGTAAAACTCAAGCATTGAATCTTAGGTTTTGTTGAAAGGATTTAACTTGGAGTATAATTAATTGTTCAGTGTAGGGTTGTTGTACTATACTTTATGTTGTACGACTTGGGTTGCTTTGAGCTAAAAATGTGCTAACAGCAGTGGCCACGAATCAAACTCTGGAGCTTCCATTTATGTGCTAGTGTGTTCCTCATCCCTTAGGCCATGAAACAAAAATGCTTTTGTTAATCTTTTTCATTAAGTTTTGTGTAGGTTTGTTTAATTAGGCATATTACAAGTTGTACAACCCCCAGTAGTAATATACAAATGATCTGGCTGCGGCATGCTGCAACAATATATTAAAGCGATAATTTAAAAAAAAAGAAGAGTACTTTGAATACCCTCTTAAAAATCTATCTTGATCATTTTTATATGGAAAAGGGCTGGATAGATAATGACAATTGGTATGTTGTTTAGAAAGCACAGGTTTTTTTTTGTGTGTCTTACATTTTGTTTCAAAGCCAACTTGGTTTATATTAAAGTTGTTTTGATAAGCATTTTTTAATGTTCTGTTTAGGTCTGTTTTTGAGCTTTTCAAACTGTGCCTTTTATACACATTCGCAGCAGGTGATTTATTGCTTGTTTCATTTGTTTGTTCAACCATGAGAGTTATTCGAGGAGCAGCTGAAATTATGAGCTGATTTGAACACAATTTAATATTTGTTTATCTTGTATACAGCAGGCACTTTTATACAAGTTGTATGCAAGTTGTATTATATTATGTTGTATTGTCTTTTATAAATTTGAGCTATATATTCTATGGAACTAAGTAAATAGAAAAGTTGGGATGCACTAGCTACAGATGTCTAAATGTATCAAGCACATTATGCGGATGAATCACTTGGATATGTCCAAGTGTCTTTCTTTTTTCGTGTTCCCAGAGTAGAAATTGTAAGGGCAATGCTAATGATGATCATTTAACAAGACTAGAGCTTGTCTACTCAGCCAGTGAAGTGGAAAGGTGGGTGGGGGTAATGTCGCCCCAGCACTGCCACATAGTGTGACCTCAATTATTCCATATTGTCATGACAGTTTGGCATGGCACGTGTCGAGTGTAACTGTTTCTGCCACTTTTTATTAATAATGCATCCCTTGTTCTCAGCATCTGTCAGGGTTTCATTTCACATTGGAGAGTGACGCTTGCTTGTTTTGACATACACAGCTACTGACATTTAAATTTCTTCAACTGGATAGGATATATTATCATTTTCACCTTAGGCAAAAAAGACATACCTGGCCAATGCAGTGGAACCCAACTTGTCCTCCTTGCTTGTGGTTTTTGGTGTAGCTCTCTTCCCACACTCTGCCTTCTCCTTGCTGAGTTCTGTTTCACTTTCTTGTGCAGTTTCAGTCTTCCTGTTTGTGCCCTCTTTTCTTAGTGCCTCACTCTTTCCTTAACTCTTGCTGTTTTCTTGCCTTGGGCATCTAAAATAAATTTTGTTTTATTCTTGCACTGTGCGTGCCTCTCATTTTAAATACTTTTTAGGTTTGTATCTTGTGCCATGTACCCGCCTTACCCGGTACCCTTATAGGGTGTGTGTTAATAACAAGTTCACAACA